TGGGACAATTGGATATCCACATGCAAAAAATGAAGTTGGACTACTCCTCATACCATATGAAAAAATCAATGCAAATTGTGTCAAAGACCTAACCTTAAGAACTATAAAACTATTAGAAGAAAACATAGGCATAAATCTTGATGACTTTGAATTAGGCAATGGTTTCTCAGGTACAACATCAACAGCAAAAGTGACTGGAAAAAAAAAAAAGAAAAAAAAAAGAAAAATTGTCCTTTATCAATATTAAAAATTTTTGTGCTTCAAAGGATGCCATTAAGAAAGTAAAAAGACAACTCACAGCATAGGAGAAAATATTTGCATATCTGATAAAAGTATGCAGATTTATATGAAGAACCTTTATAACTCAATAAAACAAGGCAAATAACCCAGTTAAAAGCGAGCAAAAGATCTTGAATAGACATTCTCCAAGGAAGATATATAAATGGCCAATAAGCACATGAAAAGATGCTCAACATTATTAGCTATCAAAAAAATGCAAAAAAAACCCCTCCAAAACCCAAAATGAAGTAATCACTTCACATCCACTAGGACAGCTCTAATCAAAAAGTCAGATAAATATAAAGATAGTAATACACTTATTGAGCATCTAAAAAAAAAAGTCAGATAAAATAACGAGTGTTGGTGAATATGTAGCAAAATTGAAACACGTATACACTGCTGGTAGAAATGTTAAATGGTGCAATCACTTTGGAAAACAGTCTGCCAGTTCCTTAAAATATTAAACATAAAGTTACCAAATGACCGGGTAATTCCACTTCTAGGTACATACCCAAGAGAATTGAAAACACATTTCCATAAAAAATCTTGTACATAAATGTTTATTATAGTGGTATTTTTCTCAATAGCCAAAAAGAAACAACCCAGATATCTATCTGCTGATGAAATACAATGTATCTATCCATACAAGGGACTAATTCAGCAATAAAAAGAAATAAGGTGCTGACTCATGCTACAACACGTGCTACTACAACACGGATAAACCTTAACAATATAGTGCTAAGTGAAAGAAACTAGTCACAAAATACCACATGTAATATGATTTCATTTATATGAATTGTCCAGCATAGGCAAATATATACAGAACATAAGTTAGTGGTTGCTTAGTGCTAGGGGATGACAAAAATGGGGGTGGGATGATAGCTAGAGGGCATAGGCTTTCTTTTTGGTGAAAATATTCTAAAATTGACTGTGGTGATAGGAGGGGTTGTTTTAGGGAGGACAAAAGTATTCTAAAATTAGGCTGTGGCGATTGTTGCACAAGCCTGTGAATACTAGTAAAAAACATCAAACTACACATTTTAAATGAGATTATGTGGCATGTGAATTACATCTCAAAGCTTTTTTAAAAATTGGAATAATTTTCGCCATTATTTTTCAAATATTTTCTTCTTCTTGGCCCCTCTTGAGCTTCTAGTTTCTCAAAAATTATACCTCAGAATATTGTCCTACTGGTCACTGATGTTCTATAGTGATTTTCTTCAGTCCTTTTCTCTTTCTTCAGTTTATTTCTTTTGCTATGCCTTCAAGTTCAGTGGCCTGTTCAATGTCTAATGATTTTTTAAGCCCTCTGATAAATTATTATATGATACTGTATTATTCTATTACTAAGTTCTATTTAGTTTTTTTTTTTTTTGTACCTTCAATTACTCTTATCATTGTGGTCATATTTTCCTATAAAGGTCTGAGCATATGTATACAAACTTTTAAAATCTTTGCCTATTAATTTCATCATTTTAGTCATTTCTGGGTGGTTTCTATTTATTGGTTATTCTCCTAGCTATGGTTCACATTTTCCTGTTTCTTTCTATGTGTGGTAATTTTTTATTGGCTCTACTCTGAGGAGTGTTCAATTTTGCTCTTTCTTTCAAAGGGCGTAAAACTGTTCTGTGAGGCAGTTTGGTTACTTTTGGATCATGCTGAGCCTTTCAAGGCTTGTTATTAAGCTTGTAGGTGTCAGTTTAGGGCAGTCTTTATTCTGGGCTAGTTTAGCCTTACTGCCGAGGTGTGATCCTTTTGAGGTCTCTAATGAATGCCCTAAATATACGACTCTCCATTCTGTCAGCTGAGAATATGTATATTTCCTAGCCGTTTGCGCTCTGGGAATCGTTCTGCTTACAACTCGGCATTTTGTGCCAGCCTCATGGGGTTTCAGCAAATACTCAAGGGAACTCCTATGGAGACTTCTGGAGATCTTTCTTTGTATAGCTCCCTCCTTTACGGTTGTCTGCCCGATAAATTCTAGCTGCCTCCTTGAACTCCAGTCTGTCACCTCAACTTAGTAAGATGACTGTGCTCTGCTTGGGATGCTCCTCTCAGTACCTGTCTGAAAAGTGCCTGTAATGGACTGAATTGTGTTCTCTCAAAACTCAAATGTTGAAGTTCTAACCCTCAATGTGACTGCATTTGGAGATAGGGCCTTTAGGAACGTAATTAAAGTTAAATAAGGTCATAAAGGTGGGACCCTAATCCCATAGGACTGGTGTGCAGCTCTATTTCTCTGCCCTACCACGTGGGCACAGAAGAAAGTTCACGTGTGGACACAGGCCATCCACAAGCCAGCAAGGGAGACCCCGCCAGAAGCCAATCTTGAGAGCACCCTGAGCCGACTAATAGCCTCCGAGGAGGAACCCTGGACCACTGTATATAGTTCTTTGCTATTTTCCCTTCTTTTTGGGGATCAATACTGCCTATTGTAAAATTTCTGAAAGTAATTGTTTCACATATTTCATCTACTTCTAGTTGTCTATTCAGGAAAGTAAATTGGGTACCAGTTACTCCATCATGGCCAAAAGCATGAGTCCTATTGCAAAAGCATGAGTCCTGTTTTTTTATCTTTTAACTGAATGATTTTCAGAAATTTCTGAGAATGGAAAAAGATGAAGTTGGAACCCCATCATGAGGTACCCGTGAGAAATCTTCACTGCCCACTCTTCTCCAGAGAAAAGCAAGTTCATTATTCCATGTTGACTGGGGCAAGAGTGAGGATCCTATACATATCAGGGAGTCCAGCGCAGGCCTAACAAGATTTCAGATTTCAGCAAAATAAGACTTTTAAGTTCTACTCATACTTGTATTGATATGGAGTTCTCATTCAGTTCAAGAGTGTAATCAGTTTAATTTCTATCATACAATTTTCCTAGGAATTGATAAGAAAAACTAATCCCCTAAGTGAAAATGTCCTTCCTGAAATCAGTACTCAAAAGACATACAGTTATTACTCCTGGAAATTGAAGCCAAGATTTTATCTTGGACTGGGCCACAAAGGGCAAGAATGACTTCTCAGAGAAACAAGAAAGAATAATCACACTAAACCACGAGGCACTTTAATTACAGTGAATTTCATGTTCTCAGGGCAAGAAGGGAGGCTCCTTAGCCAATGAGCAGAAAATAGACACCGAGGAATTTAAACGATACCCAAGGGTTAAAAGCTAAATTGTAAACATGAGACTTTAAAGAAGGATAATTCTAAGAGAGTATAAGCTTCAGCATGACACTGAACTCTAGAGTAAAAACAAACAAACGAAAAAAAAAACAAAAAACTCCAAGAGAATACAAAGGGACTGTGACCACAAAAGCTGACACTAATACTATTTAAAATTGAATTACTGGATATATATCCAAGGTCAAAGATGTATGCAGAGTGAAATGCTACGTGGATCCCAGAACAATGTTTTTCTTAGAGCTTCTGGCCACCTCTTCTTGCTCCTCTGCCTCCCCTCCTCTCCCACCCACCCTCAATATCCTCACTACAGCCAGAATCACCTCTTAAAACTCAGACCTGATCCTATGTCTAATATTTTTGTGTGGTTGTCTCTTCTGCTATACTATAAGCTCCTGAATGCAGGAACTGTATTACACATTTTCATAATCTCTGTCCTCCACATTACCTAGCACATAAAAAACCTTCAAAAAATGCTTTTAAGATGCTAAATGGAAACATTATTCTGAAATTGTAAAATTCCAAGAATAGGTCTGACTTTCAAGTTGTGGATTTGCTTGCCTCCCAGTGCAGACACCAAAGCTATTTTTCTTCCCTTAGTCAACCTAAGAGGGGAAAGCCCAGAGGATGAAAACACGTTAACTGCTGGAAGACATTTCTGAACTCTGCTGGTCTGAAATGTTAATCACCTCTTATCATCCAACTCATTAATATAAATGTCCCGGTGAGTGGGGTGGGGGGCGTGTGGGAAGCTCCTACACCACTGTATAGCCTCTTGGCCTTTGGGATGACCCACTACCAACTTCAAGCCCTCCAAGTTCTCTTTTTTCTCTAATCAAAAAGAGAAAGGATTTAACAAGAGCCATTTCTCTGTTGGATTGTTACATTTGACAGTCTCTCCCATGAAAACGTCACCTTCAATTTAGTCTTTTATTTCAATAATTAAAATGAAAAGCATCCTGTTAATTTAAAATTTTCAGTTTAAATAATATGGAAAAACTACCCAGGGAGGTAAAGGAGGCCCTTTGAAACCACACTAGGCCTCTTTATAGCAAATCATTTTCAGGCTTGGCTAGAAGAGTAGAACTGCCCTCTCACCCACAGGGACTGAGACTGAGCAGGCTAAGGCTCTTCCCTCCCGGGTCTGAGCTAAAGGCTGCAATTATGAGGCTCCATTCTGGAACCCTGAGAGGCCCCTCTACATAAGCACATATCTGTCATCTTTTTCTTCTTTCCCAGCAACCTCCACCAACTCTCCTAGCCAGGGTTTTCAACAGCAGCCCTATTGACATATTGGAGCGGATCATTCTTTGTTGTGGTTAGCTGTCTTGGGATATTTCACAGCATCTCTAGTTCTACCCGCTAGATGCCAAGAGCAATGCACACCTCCCTCCCAGTCATGACAACCAAAAATGTCTCATCATCAGAGTCCACTAGTGAAACCCCCAGATGAGAATCACTGCCTTAACCAAACCCATTCATCCATCCATTCATTCATAAGCAATATATATATACAGGACCACCATTTTAGCCTTCCTCAAAACTTTCAAAGGCTTTTATTTTCAGCGTTTGTCATTACTGTGTACAGTATTTAACTAGATTTTTGATATGGTAACTTTATATAACATTTTAAAACTCATAGTTATGCCTCTCATATTATTTTTCCAAATGTATCTTCTGGACACAAATTTCCTGGAACACAGCCTCTTCAGTTACTGTGTTTTACTGTGGATTATATAGAAAGTTTACATAAGTTTAAAAGAAATGACTCTATAATGCACTTTGTTTCCTAAGATGGTATGTACACAGACACACACACACATATACACACCCCACCCCAAGAGGAATAAGATATAATACAGCAGGAGTTACACACAGCCTCAGGAGAAACACAACTTCCTGGAATGTAAATTTTTCTGGAAGATTTAGAGTTACTAAGAATAAAATTTTTTGTTAAAACCCACATGAACAATTTGGAGTAAAATGAATTTTTGCATGAATTTTAAAATGAGATGTTGACAAAGTTGTGTTTTACAATGGGTCACATCATGCCACAGTCCCAGGCAGACCTGTTCTTCAACAGAAATGTTGAGAAGTCCTAGTTTAGTGGAATGGAGCATCTTCATTCACTGAGTTCAAACCCAAGAACTTTAAGAGACCATGTATGATTCAAACTCCAGCTCAGAGGCAGGCATGGTATTTTTAAACCACCTTACGGATGTTACAAGTAACTGCCTTGCCTGGGATATGTGACTGGTACTCTCTATATGCCTTGCAATTCTCACCATGGAAACAGTAAGGATAAGTGGCCAGGAAAACTGCAATTTGTAAATCTACTTTTGGGAAAAGAAATAGGCTGTCAATTAGTACCTTGAAATGTAAGGAAAAGAATTTGTCATGTAAACTTTCCTTCTCTCCTCGTGTTCCCTGAATTCACAAACTTTTTCTTTTTCAGTTTAGCTTATTTGAAAAATTCCAGTCCATATTAGCAAAAGTAAGAGTCAACAAACAGTTATGAAACAAAATTGATTAAATTTCTGTTTGCTTTGTAATTGTCTCTTCATATCTGGAGTAATTTCTGACAAAGTCGTTTGCTTTTACTCCTCTTCCCCAAAGCCCACCAAAGGTGTAGATTTGGGTTTTTTGGCACTGTAGAATCAGAGCAAGACATTCTCTTCCTTCCTCCCCGCCGCCTCGGTCTTTAGTAGATATTAACATCTTTCACAACACCAAATTACCATGTTTCTGTATATTATAGAATTCTACTGGCAGAATCACATTTTTAAGTAACCTACTGTTTAAATACATTATATACATGATATGCATAATGTATTTAAACAGGTTATACATATATACATATATGTATACATATATATTTTTTTATGTCCACAGTATTTAACTTTTTATTGATTAAGAGAGACTATTCTACAGTCCAAATATTCATGTTTCATAGTTCAGTAACACAGGTCAGTGGCAAACTTCCATGGAATGCAACCCAAAGAAATTCTTTACATTCCAAAATCACTTTGCATTCTTAAAGATACCAGCCTTCATCTCCTCAAAATAGTTCATGGAATCAGAATTTCTGTAGAAATCTGCATATGCCTTTCTTGGTTCAGCCACAGTAAACTTATAGAAAGCTGCAACCCCCAGGGATACATGATAACGCCAATACAAAATCACAGTCTCTGGGCAAGAGGCTATGCACCTGAAGTTTCCTCGAAGCACTAGAAAGCATGGTAGTTATATTCTCCTCAACACCACTGTCCTTCCTGGTGGAAAAATGGACTGCGCTCCAATAGCAGGCAGGAGTATTTTTAAAAATCTATATTTTAACACCTTAAAAATAATGTCTCATCTCTTGATTTTCTGGGCTATTAAAATAAGAAATCCAGCAGCATTTTCGAATAAAATTTTAAAAAATGTTTAGGGGAAAATATCATTGGAACACCTCCCTGGAAACAGATCTGCTCTTAGCAACTCAAGAGTAACAATAAACAAAGGAGCAGTAATTGTTTTCTCTTGGTAAGAGTTGCCAGTACACAAACTAAATGTGTATAGCCAAGTGGCCTAAGGGAGTGTTGGTAGCAACCTGCTGGCCAGGTTCTAACGCTTTTCCTTATTAACCAAGCCAAACAACCCAATGCTAGCTCCCACCATTCCAGATAATTCCCAAATAGCTAAGCCCTTGATCTGAGCAGCTTATAGACACAAAGCCATAAACTCGTCTTAACCCATAATGATCCTGGATAAGAAGGACGCTGAGTGGTGAGTGACATAGAGGAAAGGAAGAGTAAAAGATGACAAAATCATTAGAGTGGATATCAAGTGAGAAACAGAATCCAAAGATAAGAATGTAACCCAAGTTGCACCAGAGTACATTTTTGGGTTTTTTTACCCATGCTCATTCCTCTCCCATCTTCCCTAGCCCCACATCATCTTCTCCCCAGTTGTGGTGCAGGCTCATGGAGACATGAGGCCAATACAGATGAAGAGTTCTGATAATTACATTTAAATACCGGAGGGCAACTCTACATTGGGTTTTTCAGTTACATGAGCCAGTAAATCCTTTACTTTTAGGGGGCCTTCATTAAGTTTTGATTGGGTTTCCCTTGAAGAGTTCTATTATGATTACTACTAAAACTAAAAGTATTCCTTTTCTCTACTTAGAACTATAAAAATTTAAATAGGTTTTATGTAAATATCAGGATCAGTTGTCACTAGAAAATATAAGTATAATGCAGGCATGTTGCCTGCTTTACCGAGAAAATCTAACAACTCAAACCAGTTATCGTATACTGAAGACTTAACATTTTCCTTTAAAATATCCATCCAAAGGTTAACATACTAAATCACCAACAGATAACAAATACATCGCATCATTAAATTGGGACAATTATGTCAATTTATTTCCTTAGAAACATAATTTCCTTCTCACCTCATTCTGTTTCTCTGAGTTCCCATTTTACCGAATTCTTGTTCTTAATAAGTCACTGTAAACATGAAGCAAATGTGTAAAATATTCTTCTGTCCCATGAGCTACATTTTATTCCAGGTTAAGTCATAAGCTTTGCATTCTGCTCTGTGGTACAGTGCTCCTCAATGTGGACCACAGACGGACAACACCGGCCTTATCTGAAGGCTTGGCTGAAATGCAAATTATTGAGACCCATTTCAGACCAACTGAATCAATCTCTAAGGATGGGATCCAGAGATTTGTCTCAATGATTTTTAGGGACACTAAAGTTTTATAACCATTGCTTTAGTATGTTTAGTTATCATGTTGTTTCTTTTCATTTTGCTCATGCTTAACCTAGGCAACGGAAGACATTCTATAAGCCTTGAGAGTGAGTGACAACATTCATCCTACTGTAGCTGAGACCAGTTTGTATTTTTCTTCAGGATACAGTTCAAGGCTAAGTCTATTTCTATTTGTTTTTCTGTGACCTAGGGAAAAGGAGACATGGACTGTGAAGAAAAAGGCTCAGCTGGATTTTTAAAAAAATATCTGAACTTTGTTCTTCCTGAGATTGTTAAATTGTCTATATCAGTCAATTGTCTATACCAGTCAATGCCCTCATTTTTTTTTCTCTCCAGATCTGGATATGTTAGTATGACATTCTCAGGAATTGTAGACGGTGGGGTAAAGATGGACAAAAATGTAAACTGCTTCATTCTGTTCCACCCCAGCACAGAATCCATCACAGAGCTGTTGACAGTGCAGCAACACTGAAGCACAAAGGGACCATAAAACTCGAGAAGTAGTTTAAGGTCCACGAGAGTGGTAAGACTTGAGTGCCAGACTTTGGGTTAGCACTAGTTGGTTTCAGAAGCCATTAAAAATAAACATTATTTGATGACATCAATTTTTACAATGTAAAATTTTCCAAATACAGTTATCATATAAAGTGCTCTAGCACTGATTTAATTCCACAATGGAGGGATTCCTTTCAGAATCAGCTTAAAAGTTTATTTTCACAATGCTAGAGGTAAGCCCCCAAACTTTATAATCCCTCACATTTTCTCTCAAAAGATTTTAAAAAAAAAAGGCTTTCATATTAAATATCATATCATGCTTAAAAAAACTTTAAGGCTTTTTAAAAAAACTAAATTATTTAATATTACGACAATGATAAAATGCCAACAAAGTCCCAAACTAAAAACATTCAAAGTAAGAAAGAATCATCACTGGGATCTTGTTATATTTTCATAGTGTTAAAGGATGATCAACTGCTGTTGTTAATGTCAGTGCCAAAAAATGCATTTATATTCTGAAACATATTTGTCTTGCAGATCTTGAGGTATAAAGCCATGTTTTGCTAACATTTTATTAATCTAACAAATAATTTCTTCCACAATAACAATTGTGGTAAAAACTCCAATAACATTAGCCAACCCGCTGTCATGTTCTATGGTCTTCTAATTAATATAGTACATAGACATTTTTACACTGCACAGCTAAGACAAATTTGCAGGCAACTAATAAATTCTGAAATGTTGGGAATATTATAAAACTACATTCTAAATAGTTTCATTTTAACTTTCCCTTTTTCCTTAAATTTTTTTTTATATTCATGCTTCCTACTAATTTTTTCAGAGACCCCATAAAATCCTAGATTTAAACATGGCCAAAGATAAAACAATATTGAGATATGGGTGTCAACAAAATAGCTGAGTTTAATCAGTATCTAAGCCACCTAAAGCTATTCTCTAAAAGATAATTTATTCATCCAAGGCAAATGTGGAAAATGTTAGAACTGGATCTTAGGTTCTTCATGGTTGACCTGTCAGATACATGGGAACATCCAAGGCTTGGGTTTGAAAAGTCTAAATGCCAAAAGATTAGCTGTGTTACTAGTGGAATATCTATCAGCTGAAGAAAGTCCATAGACACATTCAGCAGTGTGTTCAATTTGTAGAAGATAGGAAGTTTGAGCTGGTACAAATCACGGTTTTAAGCCCTAGTCAAAGATAAAATGTTATTACACCTGAATAATAATAACCCGTAACTTCGCAGCTTAAATAGTACTGACTCTTGCCACTATATAAACTTAGGTTACAGTTCTGTAGCCTTAATTAAAAGGATAAGCCATTTAATCAATTTTCTGCAGAACTAACTTCTTGTCAGCTAGAGATTACAGTATGTCCATCTGAGGCTGTCATAATCATGATCACTACCAGCCATTCATTCAACAAATACTCAGTGACAAAGTATATGTTTGTACTAGGTTGTACTAAGTGGCATATCCAATATTGAATTACCTCATAATTTTTCCATAAATCCCTTTACTTCCACTAACAAATCTAGACCTACCACTTCTATTCCTGCATGGAAGCTGAAGTATATTATGACTTGCTATGTGACTATTTTTCCACATTATGTTCCTATTTCTGCGAAATACTCTTACAGTCTTTTTAGAACTCTGGAAAGATATTAAATTCACTGAATAAAAAAAATTTCAAGTTTGTTCCTCAAATATAATAAAATTCTGATATATGTTAGGCAAGTTAAATCATTAGACAAGTGATCTCCACTCAGCTAATATTAATGTTGAAAAGAGATTCAACTAAACTTTCTTTAGTGAGGCAAATTTCAATTATCCTAACAATGGTAAATGATCTATAATTTATGTGTGAATCTCAAGTGTGTCCCTTATGAAGTTATCTGTAAGTCAAAAACAAAAATTTAAGCAGACGACTGTTAAATATTATAATGTTAACAGGTACGCTGGGCAATAAATTCAAAGTTTTTATTTAACTTATATCTGCTTAGTTTTTTATTGATAAGTATAAAGGCCCAGTTAATCAACTCATTAGATTGGTCAAGGCAAGACACTTGAACTATAACAGGATTTAAAAAGCAGTTGGTCTTTTAGTCGTTCTCTGGTAATCACTCATGCGTACACGCGCGCACACACACACACACACAAATTGGTAGAGTACTCTGTGTATAGGATTTCCCCCCATATTCCTGTATAATGCACTATTCACAATCTGCAGTATTTTGAAAACTATACAAATTGGACATGACCAAATTACAGATGTCTGATAAAGTACTTGAGAACTTTAACTGTATTCCCAAAAGATCAATTTTAAACTATAAAAAGGAAAAGTCATATAAAATCACAACAGATTTAACAGAAATCTTTGAAAAAAAATCAAACTAACTCATCTTTCTACTTTTTCAAATATGACTAAGGGGAAAAAAAGTACAAGTAGTAATGTCCACGTTTTTTAAAAACTATTAACTGAGTAGATTTGGGGAAGGAAAAAAAACTATACAGTATTATTGCACTCCATGAATGTGCAGAATTCCAAAATGTGCCAGCACTGAAAAACTGTCTTGCACTGAGGTTTTCCAAGAGGTACAACGAGCCTGCCAAGAAAGCATCTGGTCTGTACTAACAGCTTGCTGTCTTCAGTACAGGCCTTCATAATGTCAGTCACGCTGCTCTTGTAAAAATCCCTTAATGTCTGAAAGACACAGAAAAAAAGAATATTTTATTTCAAACCTCACTCTTATAAAATCAACTCTTTGATCAGAAAAGAATTGAGAACATCTCTGCTAAGCAAAAGTTACGTAACACCTCTCTCTGTTCACATACATTTGCTTATAAATTCTCTATCTTGAACATGTTAAGAGAATCTGCATACTCTTAGGAACTAGCTATTTGAACGTAATAAGAGACTCTGTCTCTAAACATCCTAAGTATATCAATTCTGGCCACTAAGGGTTCACAGTCAAAAAAATGATGTTACAAGCCCAATTATTAAGCCTTGAAGATAAAATTATTAGCACAATCTTACTTTATTTTGGCAGACCCAAACTCACTTATCTTTTATACATTTTAATGAAGAAAACATCCATCTGTTAAATCCTAAGTTGGAAACCCAAGTGATAATATATGTAATATCTGGCATCTTGCTGATTCATGATGAGAATTAACTGATACATATACATAGTTCTTATATTTTTAAACTACTTACAAAAGAGTTTTCAGTGCTGATAGGTGGGGCTATGATCGATGATGTGGGATTGAATCCATATGCACATTGAGCTTCATTTCATTGTCAAGAATTTGAACAAGCTGTTGCATGGATGGAAGGTGACCAGATTCCAGCTTAGACCACACAGGTACATCTATAAAAATAAATGGTACCGGCACCCAAAATTAAAGATGATTCTGTAATAAACATTCATTTCACAGATATTTATTTTCTGTGTACACAGCTGGGGATACAAAAGTGAGTAAAAGAAGTAAGGTTCTTGCTCTTATATTCTAGTAGGGGAAATACAAAAATAACTATATAAATAGCTACAGAATCACAATTGTGTACTAAGAAATAAAACTAGAAGATGCTATGAGAGAGACCTATAAGAGGATGGAAAGCCTTTTGTCTTTACTATTAAAAGTGAGATATTATAGTTAAAAGTGAGAGATAGCCGAAATATAGAAGGGTGGTACAAGGAGGCTAGATGTAGGCCGGGACTAGATCAGGAGTCACCAAACTATAAAAAGCCAGATAGTAAGCATTTGCAGCTTGAAAAGATAAACAATCTGTCACAGATACTCAACTCTCATGGTAGCCTGAAATGAGCAACAGGCAATACATAAACGAATGGGAATGGCTGTGTTCCAATAAAACTTTATTTACAAAACAGGCAGCAAGTGATATGATCCACGAGGCCATGGTTTGCCAATCCCTAAGCTACATAATACAGGGCCTTTTGGCGACATTACATGTTCTGGTCTTTATCGCGAAAACAAAGTAAAGACATTTAATGAATTTGAAGCAGTGAAGCAACAAGATGAAATATGCATTAAAAAAAAAATCACTGTTTGGAGCAGGTGTCAGCAAATTTTTCTGTAAGAAGCCAGATAGTAAATATGTTAAGTTTTATGGACCAAGAAACGAAATCAAGGATATTATATAGGTACTTATATAATTAGAGAGATAAATTTCCAAAAATTTTTCATTGAGGAAACTTGAAACTTTAGGTACAGACACTGAAATTTGAATTTCATATAACTTCCATGTGTCACAAATTATTAATATTTTTAAACCATTAAAAATGTAAAAACCATTGTTAGCTCATAAACCATATTTGCCAACCTCTGGTTTAGAAAACATATTACAGCAGTGGTCCCCAACCTTTTTGGCACCAGGAACCGGTGTTCCTATGAGAATCTAATGCCTCATGATCTGCGATGGAGCTGAGGCAGTGATGCTAGCACTGGGGAGCAGCTGCAAATACAGTTGAAGCTTTGCTCACTCACCTGCTGCTCACCTTCTGCTATGTGGCCCAGTGCATAACAGGCCACAGACCAGTATTAGTCCATGCGCCAAGAGTTGGGGTCTCCTGTTTTAGAGGTTAACAAGATAATTGTGGCCTGGACTAGGGTGGTGCCAATGAAGATAAAGTAGATTTTTGAGAAATGTAAAAGGTGGACCTGAGAATACTTGGAAATCCATTAGATATGAAAAGTAAGGGAGAAAGTGACGTTATCCTAGGTTTCTGAAATGGGAAACTGGGTACAATGATAATAGTGTCATTAAATAACTAAGAAATCCAGGAAGAAGAAAATTGGAATACACAAGAATTATAGGAAGCAGAAGTAATCACAGTTTGGGCATAGTAGTTTAAGATTCTTGGGTATAGTAAAAAGGACAAAAGCTTACTTTTTTTTTTTTCTTTTCTATAGCCTTCTGCTCTAATCTCTCTCTTTGCTGAGCTTGTATTAACAGGACAGGACAGAAATTTACAGCAGCCCAATGCCTATGCTCACTGTAAAGCTGTCACCCAACCCAGATATCTGCAAACACTCCTGTCCTGGCATTTTAAGATAAACTGAAGACTCCTGCCATCTTTGCTAAACAGACCGTAACTGGCGCCAGTTGTCATACAAGCCATTACTCAACACCTCCATCCCACACTCCTTTTAACTGAATAAAAGCTCTACTCCACAACCCCTCCAGGCTAGTGTATCTTCTTTAGCATCTGTCCCCTTTCCTCTCTTGGAAAGTGAATAAAACTTTGTCTATTACTCCGATATCGACTCTGTGAATTCTTTCAGAGCCTGCGTTACCAGCCTGCCCTAACATATGGCATAGCAGTCCTCAACCTTTTTGGCACCAGGGACCAGCGCCCTTATGAGAATATAATGGCTGATAATCCGAGGTGGAGCCAAGTCAGTGATGCTAGTGCTGGGGAGCTGCTGCAAATAAGATGAAATTTCGCTCGCTCACAGCTCACCTCCTGTAGTACAGCCTGGTTCCCAACAGGCCATGGACAGGAACCAGTCTGTGGCCCAGGGGTTGAAGACCCCTATACAGCACATAGAAAAGAGGTCTATAGGCCTCTAGAGCTAAACATTCAGGGGTCATCATACAGATGTTATTTTAAAGCCATGAGAGTAGATCAGGACCATATAAAGAGATAATATAGCATACTATGAAAAACAGAAAAGCCTAATATTCATTATAAATCACTTAAAATGTATCACAGAATGTAGACTATTCAGAACCCACCATTCAAAGTTATCTCAAATGCACCTGTTGACATACACTGGTTCTCAATCATGTTGCTCAAGAAGAAAACCATCATACATGCATAGACCTAAAAGAAAATATAATTAAGTACAATGGGCAAAGTCATTTTGAAATCAAAACAATATGACAACTTAAGACACAGTAACCTTTAAAGAAGTCTCATTTTCATTTGATAATTGCTCTTTTTTAATCTACCTTAAAAGTTTCCACGCAAATTATTACTGCCATTCCATATGTTCAGATGACGTACATGGAAAAAGAAAACTGTAATATTAATTCACAGTTCTATACATGGTGAAGAACTTATATGATATTCATAATGTAGAGATAGAATCTCTAGATATCTCTTAAGCTATTAGGCTTAATGAGGTAAACAAAAGTATACCAGCATAAAAAGGGTCCATTTTATCATTTTTTTAATATAATGTATGAATTCACAAGAGACTACTGATGCAACAATCAGCAACTTCATGTATTCAATACAATCTGTTCATGTTCTAAATAAATCATTTTAAGTCAAAAATGTTTATTTGGTCTTCATCTCAGTTTCTGGCACAGAGCACCCAAAATCTTTGGAATTTCCTAAGTGACAGGGGTAGGAAAAAAAAGTGTCTTTTGTTATGTTAATGAAGTGGCTTTTGAGCCTCACCTAAAGGGGAAATGGGGGGACAGTGGTTGCCAGGAAAACCAATTATATTATTAGAGGGTTGGAATTTCCAGTTTCAGGGAGGTCGAATTAGTTACCAATGGCCAATTATTTAATTAATCATGCTTATGTAATGAAGTCTCCATAAAAACCCAGAGAAATTGGGATTGGAGAGCTTCCAAGCTGGTGAACATGTAAAGATGTTAGGAGAATGATGAGCCTGAAGGGAGCATGGAAGCTCTAAGTCTCTTCCCACATACCCTGCCCTATGCATCTCTTCCATTTGGCTGTTTCTGAGTTATATTCTTTTACAATAAACTGATAATCTAGTAAATAAAATGTTTCTGAGTTCTGAGTCACTCTAGCAAATTAAACAAACCCATGGAGGAGGTTGTGGGAACCTCTGATCTGTAGCCAGTTGGTCAGAAACACAAGTAACAACCTGGACTTGCAACTGGAGTCTGGGGGTGGAGGGGAGCAGCGGGGAGGGTGAAGGGGAGTTGTCTTGTAGGACTGAACCTTTTTTAATCTGTGGAATCTGAATCTGATGCTACCGCTGGGTAGACAGATGTCAGAATTAGTCAAGTTCTTAGACACCGGCTGATGTCTGATAATTGTCAGTGTGGTGGAAACCCTTCTCCATCCACACACAGGTTTAAATTGGATCCAGAAACCCAAAAGACAAACTAAGAATAAAAGTAGGTTAGAAAGCACTGGCATATTAAATTACTTCATTCACTTTAGAATGCAAACCTATACCCTCCACCAAAAAACTTGAAGCTCCTTAATGGATAGGTTTCAATTTAACAAAATCACCTGACTACAAGGAGAATGTAGTGAGGATGTCAAATCACAACAAACTGTTTCAGAAAAAAATTAATCAAAATGCCGATAGCACATGAGAAAGAGCGTTGCCTGCCCACCTCCCCCTTGAGCTAAGTGGACTCTGATTTCATACAGGTTACCCTATCATTTGGGAATAGAAGTCATCTTCAATGGGAACAGTATACAAGGGAGTGTCACGAAACCTAGTTTTCAAGGACATTCCCCTTCTACAGTAGAACAACAATTTATATGTTTATAGAAGTAAAATGCACTAAAGGTATTTTTAAATCAATAAGATTAATAAAAATAACAAAACATTATCAATCAGTACTTCACTCTCAATTCTTAATCCTATGCAAATCAATGTTTTGTTAACAGAGTAGATACATTTTAATTAACAGTAGCACCTGAGGATGTTTATGTTAAGTAGTCTTGCCTGTTATTGGAAATAAGTAGTTCCCTAAGAAAAAGAAGTACAAACTATGTTGGAGCCAGCTAAAAAGGTAGTCTTAGACTATAAGTAAAGGACAAGTCCAGATAGAGGACTCTAAAAGTAAATGCTCCTTAGGAAACTTAAACAATCTAATCCAAGAGAGAAATAAAAATTAGTCCCATTTCTCACAGCAGAAAGGTAAACCCTCCAGAAAATACGATTTTAAGTAAAACATTAAAAAAAGATCTAGAAAGAATGTGTGCTGCAGCAGGATCCTACAAAGAAAATAATAGCACAAGATTCTTATGTGTATTTATATTGATCATTTCAGGTAATTGCTTAACAGATTCCCTATGAACAGCAGAGTCGAAGGACAAATAATAAAAACAGAGTGAGAGAGAAAAAAAGTGTGTGTGTTTGGTAAGAACAAGTCAGTGGAAATCTCATTTTTAATATGAAGAAACCCATTAATTCCCATATCAGTTGGTATAAAAGGCCTACGTTATGTATATATTATGTTTTGCTGGATATGATTAGGCCTATATAATCAAAATCAGGTATTAACTTATTTTGTGCCCAAGTTCTACTAATGTGATGCCTGCCTATCCTTCAAATAATATAAAGGTGAGACCTAATCATTCTTACAAAAGTATGGAAACAAACCAAAGGAGGTTAAGCGCCTTGCCCAGAGATAAAAAAAGTGATTTAAGATAAAAAAATTATGTAAACATGTGAATCAGCAACAAGTACTCAAAAAGAAAACAGAATTCACTAAAATATATTCACTGACAACCTAAAAACTTACAGCTACTAAAGCTATTAAATTACATACCTTGTTTTCTTGGCCCCACTGCCAGATGCTAGGAGCTTGCATGCCAAAGAAAGCAAAAGGATCCTTGCCAACAATTATTAAGCCTATTAATACTAGTTTGAAGACTGACAGGAAAGATGCTATGTGTCTATCAAAAGAAAAGAAACAAATTCATCAGAAGCCACAATTTCTCATTTACTTCAAAATTTCATAACTCAAGTGTATGTGTACAGACATTTTCTAGAAAAAATTTAACTTATTAATTATAACTAGTGAAAAAGATAGTAACTAGTTCATTGTACAGTTTTAAAACAAAATGCATCAGCCTTTAAAAAATATTATTTTAACAGTATAGAATTTTATACCATTGACTATAAATATTTGAGTGTTCGTGGTATAGTTCCACAATAAAAATTACATAACAAAACACGTCTTTAGAAAGGGCGTCACCTAAAAAATGACCCTCCTCTTTTCCTTTTTACAGAAAAATTCTGTATTTCCTATTTATGAAACACTGTTCTCCATATATTATTACAACCAGTTAAGAAATGTTAATAACCAAGGAAAGTTAACTGAACCAATTCACAAAAGTTTACAAAATCAAATTCTTTCCCTTTTAAGTTACTGAAATTTACTTACCTATATATTGGTTGAGGGAGGTAATTCTCTCCTTCAATGCGGATGTCTGGGTACCGCTGCCTAATAACTCGCATGTACTCCTCAAACACCCGCCTATAACCTCAGGAAACACTGGAGAAAAACAAAAGCGCTTCCATTAAGTGATTTAAAATATGCCTAGATTTATTGTGCAGTTAGACAAAGCCTAAAATTATTACCAAAATTAAAAGTGCTTCTCAAGAACAATCACAAATTAATAATGATTAATGCTGGATGACGGGTATATGGAGGTTTTTTTAACAGATTTTACGTATTTAAGTTACCTCACCTCAAGTAAATCATTCCTTTAGAATACGAAACTTTGTAGATGTGAGTTATTGTTGGACAACAGCAAATATCTACTCACATATATCAGTGTATTTTGAGCTCTCAAGTCAATTTGCCTTTAAAAAAAACAAAAACAATGACTGTATAAACACTGAAATGAAAAAACTCTTATTCATCTGAAATAGAGACTTTCAAAACTGAGACACAAGAAACTTTAAAAAATGCCAAGGCATGAGACATAAAACTCTGGTTCTTATTCCCACTCGTCCCCTAACTGGGAACACATGGCTGCTCAATCATAGTTAAATAATTCTTAGGTACCTTCTGACTCTAAAATTTGATTCTACTTTGCAAAGGAAAACAAGGATTGGGAAGAATCTTTAGCAATATGACAGTAATCCATACCATTGCTCTAGAAATTAAGTCAACAGCATCTAATCATCTTCATAAAAATCTCTGAATGACTACACTATGGATATATAATATACGTTGCTCCAGCAAGAAAAGGGCATATACCACCAGAGTGCATATATATGAGAAAAAAAAGTATACTGATCAAAGCAATTGAAGAAGACATAAATATATGAAAAGATATCTCATGTTCATTAATTTAAAGAATGAAAATTGTTAAAATGTTCATACTACTCAAAGCAATCTACAGATTCAATGCAATCCCTATTGAAATTTCAATAGCATTTTTCACAGAAAGAGAACGAACAATACTAAATTTTTATGGAATGACAAAAAAAAAAACCCAAATAGCCAAAGCAATCTTAAGAAAAAGCTGGAGGCATCACACTTTCTGGTTTCAAACTATATTACAAAGTATAGTGATCAAAACAGTATGATATTTGCATAAAAACAGACACATAGATCAATGAGACAGAATAGAGCCCAGAAATAAATCTACACATATATGGTCAATTAATTGAAAACAAAAGAGCCAAGATTACACAATGGGGAAAGGATAGTCTCTTCAATAAATGGTGTTAGGAAAACGAGACCATTATCTTACACTTTACACAAAAATCAACTCAAAACGATTAAAGACTTGAATGCAAGACCTGAAACCATAAAATTCCTAGAAGAAAACATAGGACGTAAGTTCCCTGACAATGGTCCTGGCAACCATTTTTTAGATTTGACACTAAAAGCAAAGGCATCAATAGCAAAAATAAGCAAGTGGGACTATATAAAACTAAAAAGCTTCTGCACAGCAAAGGACACCATCAACAAAACGAAAAGGCAACCTACAGAATGGGAGAAAATACTTCCAAATCATCTGATAAGGAGTTAATATGCAATATATATAAGGATTGTACAACTCAATAACCAAAAAATTAACAATCCATTTAAAAACTGGGCAAAGCGTAAGAGATGAAATACTGCCATTTGCGACAACATGGATGGACCTCGAGATAATCATGCTAAACGAAATAAGCCAAACAGGAAAAGTTGAAAATCACACGATATCATATATGTGGGATATAAAACTAAAAGCAACAAATGAATAGGACAAATAAACAGAGACTCATGGACATGGACTACAGACTTGTGGTTACCAGAGGGTAGGGGATGGGGGAGGACGGGGGCGGTAGACGGGGTAAAGAGGGTCAAGTATAGGGGGGTGGGGGGAAGGTGAAGTGGGTAAACGGGATCAAATATATGGCAGCTCAAGGAAACTTGATTTTGGGTGGTAAATACACAATAGAATATATAGATGTCAAATTATAATGTACACCTGAAAATTATATAATTGTATTAACCAATGTTACCCCCAATAAACTTAATAAAAATATATATAAAAAAATAAATTAAAAACTGGGCAAAGGAGCCCGAAAAAACATTTTTCCAAAGACGATATGCAGATGACCAACGTGTACATGAAAAGATGCTTAACATCACTAATCATGAAGGAAATGCAAATCAAAACCACAATGAGATATCACCTCACAACTGCTAGGATGTCTATAATCAAAAAGACAAGAGATGACAAGTTTGGTGAGGATGTGGAGAAAAGGGAACCCTTGTACACTGTTGGTGGGAATGTATATTGGTACAGCCGCTATGAACAACAGTATGGAGGTTCCCTAAAATATTAAAAATAGAATGACTATTTAATCTAACAATCTGGGTATATGAAACCATTATCTCAAAGAGATACCTGCATCCCATGTTTACTGAAGCATTATTTACAATAATCAAGACATGAAATAAATCATGTATCACCTATCGATAGATGAATAAATAAAGAAAAGGTGGTATATATAATACAATGGAATATTATTCAGCCAAAAAAGGAAATCTTGCCTTTTGGAACAACATGGATGGACCTTAACTATACTATGCTAAGTGAGATAACTCAGAGAAACACCATTATTGTAAGATCTTACTTATATATGGAATCTAAAAAAGCCAAACTCATAGACACAGATGGTAGGTGGTGGCCAGTGGCTAGTAGTAGGGAAAACAGGGAGATATTGGTCTAAAGACACAAATTTCTAGTATCAAAGTAAGTCCTGGGGATGTAATGTGCAGCATGATGACTAACATTAACAATGCTGCACTGTACATTGGAAAGTTGCTAAGAGAGTGCATATCTTAAATGTTCTCATCACAAAAGAGGTGATTATGTGAGCTGATGGATGTGTTAAATAACTTAACTGTGGTAATTATTTCACAATATATATTACATCAAATCGTTGCCTTAAATATATACAATTTCTATTTGTCATTCATACTTCAATAAAATGGGCGGTGGGTGGGGATAAAGTGGTACCGCCATATCAAGAGGAGCTTACAAATTTAGGTATGATTAAGCACTTTAATACATTAAGTTCTAAGTTAAGGAACACAATATAAAGTAATGAAAGTACCATTTGATAGAGAGAAGGCAGGATCAGTAATTAAGTTTTAATACAGTAAAACCTGAGGTGCCAGCTTTGTCAATTACACTGTCATCAGGAAAAAATAACAACCATCACCAGCAACCAAAGGGAACAGCATCAAGTTTATATCTGACGGAGAAATAGTCCAAATACTCATAGATCTCAATTTAAGAAAATTCACTTTTCAAAAAAAAAAAGTGAGAAACTCACCAGTCTTTTCTTAAACTAATACTTCCTCTATATTTAGAATAAAAATTTCATAGAAAATTACATCCCTAAAGTATGACATTTTTTCAAAGGGATACAAATCTCTAGAGCTACATACTTAAAAGAACTCAAGAATCTCTAGATACCTCACCTTTACTAAACATTCATCTTATCCATTATTTTATGATTACTGTTGTTACATTCATCAAGCATTAGTACTTTGCCTCAATTGCTTTTTCTATAAGAAATTGTGAATGACACTTTTGCTTTGAAGATATAAAGCTGAAACTTCCTTTTTTATAGATCAACAGAAAAACATGAAATCCAGGAAGATCAAGTGACTTTTCCATCATTAAATATTCATGTATTATTAATTCACTCACATATTTATGCCTACTATGTGTCAAGTATTATATTAGCGGGCATGCAGTGGTGAGTGACAGATATGGTCCCCGTCCTTAGGCAGGGCTGCGACTAGAACACAGATATGAGATCCTAGGTTCCTTCCATTAGACTCCAATAGAATACTTAGATAATGCAAGAGTTACCCTTCCCTGCGTCCAGGAAGTAAGTTCTCTTTGCCACAATGCCATAACCCATATAGCTGACCTCCTGGTGGCAGAGATCTCTGAAGTTCTTCCAAGAAGAAGACATAGATTCTCTCTCTAGGAGTTCTAACTGTGGGTCCAAAGGAGTCCCTCATTTTGCTCTAGGAGTTCCGATCCTTCACCAAGGGAAGCCCTAAGAGGCCCAGCTAGAGAGGTGTGTCTATGTAGAGGCAATACTATTGGTCAGATTCCTCCCAGTCGCCCATTTCTTTGGCTGCTGTGTTCTATCCTAACTGTATCCTCAGTTCTTCCAGTCCTAACTCTAATTCAGTTTAATCTCAGATCCTTGCACCAAACTCCAAATAGAATAGGTCCATAATCTTGGAAAAAAACAAAACAAAACGTTTAAACCACACCTTTCTTATTTCTGAAAAATGAAGCAGTTTACAAGATACACAACACATTCTTAGACAAGTTTATGCGTAAGTAAACTTGCTTCTCTGTATCTGCCTCCAGACTTGTAAGGAAAAACAAGGAACTTCTTTTCCTATATAATTTGTTTTCCCCAAAACAATTTTTGTTTTGAAATAACAATCAATACTACTGACAGAAAATAAAACATACTTAGTGTTTATCAAGGTGGGCAAAATGTTAAATTAAAGGCATACGTGGTAATGAGCCAGTAATCATTCAACCTGTAATCACCATATGCGGCTCTTTCAACTTATTTCATCCTTTTTGGGTCAGTAAGGAAAACTATGACTTCCAGTAAACTTCTAACAAATAAATATGTGAACATGCTAAAAATACGTTACAGCAGCTGCCTGTTCCTCCTGCTCTGAACCAAAGGGCCTTAAGAAGTAAATTTAAACTTTGAAAAGAAATTTTAAATTTAAGTCCTAATCACTTTACAAATCTCTTTCTAGTAATACAGAACTATCTTATTTATAGCGTCAACTTTTACACCTGCTGTACTTAAAGTTATTTTTCACACAATTTTCTAAAAGGAAGAAGTTGCATATAAATTAGATGATCTATGTGTAATAACTAGAAAGGAAATTTAGGTAATACAGAAAAATCCTTTGTCCATGCTAACTATTACAAATAGATTCTGTGCTTTTTTAAAGTCCATGTTTTCAGTTTCCTAATTCATGTGCCAACC